TCAGGCTCAATAAAACAAGGCACCATAAAAACACAAATATTGTATACCTACTAATCTTTTATTGTGTACCAACCCTTCCTAATCGAACACACCTCGCAGATCACGACGTAGATAATTTGTCGATAACAACAGAACAGGTGATCCATGTTGTAAAAACACCGATCACCTGTCGTTTAAATTTCGAAAAAATATCCCGATCACAAAGTAGTGTGCTTTAGATGCAATAAATCGGGACACATAAGATACAGTAGATAACCCAGAAAATTCAATGAATTTGAATGCACAACATGTGACTTATTGCTAAAAAATTACTATTAAATAATCTGAAGTATGAGAGTATTGTAAGTGTCCTAATCTGCGACATTGAACTGTTCTTAAAGAGTTATATCCCCTTCTTTAAATAATAATAAATACAATACAAGGTGGTAGGGAGTATGTTACAAGGTACTACATGTACTTCTCAAGACTTCATTATGGATAGTGCTTATCTCCATGATGCTAAAATTCTGGCTTCTAGACCGCCTAGGCTTTGAGCAGAAGTCAGTGCTCTCCATGTTACATAGGAAGTAAAAGTGCATTATGGGTAACCAAGTGATTGCCATGTGGTGAGTTAAATGTATTTCAGCTTCAGCAACCCAGTGACACTGTATCATATACCCTTGTCTTATCCTCCAATTTACAAACAAAATAAATGAACAGAAATTTCTTCATGTAAATATCAGATTAAGACATTATAAATAATATATTTTGTTCTGTATATGTTGTGAAAAAAACAGTATTACGGATAAAAATATAAATTTTCAGCGTAAGGTTAATTGTAGCAAACAATTATGAAATCTCATGTTCATTATTCTAGTTGTACGGTACATTTGATACCTTCTAAACAGTCACAGGACAGGGACATGAAACTCATATTTCCCAGTCAACATGCTTTTCGTTATATGCCCCTGTCATCATCATGCTTTTCATTCATTATATTCATCATCTTGGAGGTCTTGAAACACTTGATATTTCTCTCTTGGTCAAGCAAAAAAAATAACACAAAACCAATAATAAGCATGTCTTGCTATTTTAGGTGGATGTTTTGATTGTATATTTTGATCATTTGAAGGTGCTGAAATCCCTCTCAGAAGTGGTCATTGAAGGCATACGCTGTGACGTACATACAGCAGAAAATGGTATATTTATTTTGTTAACTTGCATTCCTTGCATTTCCTAATGCTACCAGCACCAGGCTCGTTTTAAGAAAATTAATTTGAAAGTTTACATTTTTTTTTAACTTTAATTAAGTTTACTGGAAATGAATTTGACACGTTGTATAAAAAAAATACTAATCTAAGTATACATATATAATTACACTATATTACATAAATGAACATATTCCGGTGTACTCAATGATGCTTTTGAATACAAAATATAGACACAAAATTTATTTACTTTTTCATGCTTATATCATGATGTGGTGTTATTTGTCATTTAACAGAATTATCTTTCCTCAGCAAGTCTGCTATTACACTTTGTGCAGTGTATGATGAACTTTCCATAGAGGATAAGTAATTGACCACGTGCACCTTTCTTACTTATCTAACATAAAGCTCAAAATATTTTCTTTGCTCAAATATACAATCACGTCTTTTTCTTTATTTTTATTTGTTTAATTTAAATTAAAACTTTTCATACAGTTCTCTTTTTCGAATGATATCACATTTTTTTCAACAATCCTGATATTTCATTTACAAAGGATTATAATTAATTCTTTATAGAAGACCTGAATTATGAAAGAATCGCATACAATCTTAAACCTTCTTTGAAATAATCTTGAAGAAACCTTTCTCTAAGTGGTATTTGCTCGTAGAGCAAATTCAAATCTTTTTCCATGAGAGTCGAACTGCCGAACACTTCAGATATTGGCGTAGTACTGCAAATCAGAGAAAAGAAAACTGGTGGTGTTTCCTCCGACGGCAATGTACGGAGTTTCTGATAGCATTCTTTCAGGAGTTAAGAATAATAGAACAAGAACTTAAGGTACTCCGATCCTCAGGTTCTGAAAATCAAGCACTGACTTAATGAAAATGCTCATAAATGTCTCTGATTTTTCGCAGTTACGTGTTTTTACCCACAATAACTCTGAAACTTCATCTTTAAAGTAAAACAAATTATATAGAGAAAATTAGTAAATTTCAAATATATTTTCAGGAACTACGAATAAAAACACTAGCTTTGCATTTTCCAATTCAAATTTGACTCATTTAGACATTTTAAAAATAAAAATCATAGGTATCCAGGCTTTTGAAGAAATTCCACAATTTTTAGGTCACCTGAGTAAACTCAGGTGACCTATTGCTATCCGTTTTCGTCCGTCGTCGTCCGTCGTTTGTCGTTCGTCGTCCGTCGTGTGTTAACATTTGAACATTTTCAGCTTCTTCTCTGCAACCACTGAACCAATTTCAACCAAATTTGGCACAAAGCATCTATGGGTGAAGGGGAACACCTGGGGCCTGAGGGGTGGGGCCAAAACCACTAAAGTTAATGCAATCTTTAAAAATCTTCTTCTTTACTCCTGGACATCAAGCAGTCAAACTGTTTGCATGATTGTAATCAGCATTGAGTCCTTTACCAAAATTGTGAAATTCATGGCCCTGGGGTCAGGGGTTCTAGTGCTAGGGCGGGGCTAAATAAGTATATAGTGAAAATGCATTATTTCTTTGGAAATCTTTTCTCTACTCCTGGGTATTAAATAAACCAACTAAGTACATAGTTATGATGAGCAAGAGTGCCTCTACCAAAATTGTGAATTTTATGGCCCCAGGGTCAGGAGTTCTGTCATTAGGGCGGGGCTCTATTGATTATATATAGTGAAAATACATGATTTCTTTGAAAATCTCCTTCTCTGCCCCTGGGTATTAAATAAACTAACTAAGTGCATAGTTATGATGAGCATGAGTGCCTCTACCAAAATTGTGAATTTTATGGCCCCAGGGTCAGGGGTTCTGTCATTAGGGCGGGGCTCTATTGATTATATATAGTGAAAATACATGATTTCTTTGAAAATCTTCTTCTCTGCCCCTGGGTATTAAATATACTAACAAAGTGCATAGTTATGATGAGCATGAGTGCCTCTACCAAAATTGTGAATTTTATGGCCCCAGGGTCAAGGGTTCTGGTGTTAGGGGGGGGGGGGGGCTCTATTGATTATAAAGTGAAAAAACATGAATTCTTTGAAAATCTTCTACTCTGCTCCTAGGTATTAAATAAACCAACTAAGTGCATAGTTATGATGAGCAAGAGTGCCTCAACCAAAATTGTGAATTTTATGGCTCAAGGGTTCTGGTGTTAGGGTGGGGCTCTATAGATTATATATAGTAAAAATACATGAATTCTTTGAAAATCTTCTTCTCTGCTCCTAGGTATTAAATAAACTAACTAAGTGCATAGTTATGATGAGCAAGAGTGCTTTTACCAAATTTGTGAATTTTATGGTCCCAGGGTCAGGGTTTCTGGTGTTAGGGCAGAGCTCTATTGATTATATATTGAAAATACACTAATTCTTTGAAAATCTTCTTCTTTGCTCCTAGGAATTAAATAAACTAAGTACATAGTTATGATGAGCAAGAATGCCTCTTTTAAAATTATGAATTTTATGGCCCCAGGGTCAGGGGTTCTGGTGTTAGGGGGCGGGGCTCAATTGATTATATAATGAAAATACATTAAATCTTTGAAATTTTTTTTCTTTGTCTCTGGGTATAAAGCAGATGAACTACCTTTATAGTTATGATGAGCTAGGGCCCTAATCTTGCAGAATTGTGAATTTCAAAGCCCCAGGGTCAGGGGTGGGGTGGGGGCTCTACTTATATACTGAAAATGAATTTATTGTTTGAAATCTGCTCTTTTGTATTTATAAAACATTTATTTATTTTTTGATATTAAGAGTGCCTTTTTGAAATTTGTGCAATGTGTGGACCTAGGGTCATGGGGTTTATGTCACAGTGTTAGGGGCACTACTGTTAGTTGGAATGCATTTTTGTTCCCCTACCCTGCATATGGGTATTCAGTAACCAAGCTAAGCAACTGCTAAGTGTATTGTTATGATGATCAATGGTGCCTCTTTCAAAATTGTGAATGTCATATAGCATCTGGCTTAAAACATGAATCAAATTCAATAACTGGAAAATTGTTGCATACTGCTCAGGTGACCTATAAGGCCCGTGGGACTCTTGTTAAACTTATAATGTACTTTAATTTCTTTTATTTACTTCGATCAATTTACAATGCGAAGTGTATAAGATTCTCCTGTCATTGTGAAGCACCATAAATCACTTCTATTTTCATATCATGTTAATAAACATTGGTATCTATATTTAGATTAAAATGAACATCAATTTCTTAATATATGTAATTTTAAAATGCTTTTACGTGGTGAAAATTTCGACTTTTTATTAGACCTTACTGAGAAATTCAAAGAACCTTGAAGCACATTTAGAGGTATATAATGAAAATTGTTGCATGAAAAGACTTAATTTTTAAGCTTCATTTTGAGGCTTTTTAATTAAATTATAAATTAAAGAGTTGTCCAACCTGGCTGAGGATCGGAGTCCCTTAATCGTAATTGCCATAAAGTATCTTCAGTACAAAGCTGTTTTATCCGACATGCACTGGGAGAAAAGTTAATACGTAATGTAACACAGTTTAAAGATCATGGAAATTAGTAATGAAAATGGTTCATGTATTCAAATGTCGGAATTCGCGGATTGTTGATATGTCGGATTTTCCATTGTAAGACGTTAGACAATAGAACAATCTTGTCATTATTTACGTTCCAGGGATCTTCATGTGGCAGTGTTTTAAATAAAAACGAAATATTTTAAATTAATTACAACACATACAATGTACAATTTTAACTTGGTACAATCGGTATAGACAATTAATAAAATTTTATTGCTTCATTTCATGGTTCAACCATAAAACTCGTTAATAATAAATAGTATTTACAAGTTTCCTCAATTGATTTAAAACATTATGTAAAAGAAATGAATAGATTTCCAAAACGAAAATAAAGTTGAAATTGTCTGTTTCTAAGAAAAATATTTCGCCTGACTGGTAGTTGTTCATCAATAAGAGGTCCCTCTATCTTAAAAGTATCCATCTGTTGAAAATAAGAAAACACAATTAAGTAATGTGTCAGAAATATAAAGGTGTACTTTATAAACTATTTCAAATGTTCATGGAATAACTAAAGTAAATAAGTACTGGTTATTAGGATTTAGTGATGTATACCTAGTGACGTTTAATTAGGATTTAGTGATGTATACCTAGTGACGTTTAATTAGGATTTAGTGATGTATACCTAGTGACGTTTAATTAGGATTTAGTAATGTATACCTAGTGACGTTTAATTAGGATTTAGTGATGTATACCTAGTGACGTTTAATTAGGATTTAGTGATGTATACCTAGTGACGTTTAATTAGGATTTAGTGATGTATACCTAGTGACGTTTAATTAGGATTTAGTGATGTATACCTAGTGACGTTTAATTAGGATTTAGTGATGTATACCTAGTGACGTTTAAGGTAAAGATCCATACCACGTAAAATAACGTTATGTGACGTTATTCTCGTTTGTGACGTTATTACGTCAAACGCGCCCGACGCTTATTATATCAAAAATGCCTGACGTCGATTTCACTTACCGTAAAAAAAGGTACATTAATTTCCAAATAAAAGGCATAAATATACGATGTTCAGTTATTTTCCGGGATGCATGATCGAAGGAGAGTTTAAATTTAGATGATTCGTCAAACCGAAAGTACAATAAAGATGGCATGGATGATGGAAGGAAGATTCATTGTCTCGAGTACAAGATAACTAAAAGACTTCGACAATCGGGTCGTTTTTTGTCTCTGTAAATTGAAGAAATACAGAGTAACAAATAAATAGTTCTCTTGTCGAAAGTCATTATCGTTTGCTTACATGTTTGTACATAGGCCTAGTACATAACCAATTTCGAATCACGTACGGCTCAAGTATTCAGGTACCTAAGTACTTTGCTTCAATATTCTGATTTTTAAAAGTCGTTTTTCTCTTCTCGATTGTTTGAATTAAAATATCGTCCTCTGGGGATTGACTCGGGATTTTGAAAAAAATTTTGGAAAACTTTTTTTTACAATGTATATATCATACATAAAACAGTTACTGCACAAATATAAATGTTCTGTTATTTTGTATATCCTTGCACTGAAACATAAAATAATTATTCATAAAAAACAAACAAACAGAATACATTGTGCCAAAAAAAATTCCTTAATACACACATATGCTGAAAATTTAGAAAAATTTGTTTTAAAGCTAGCTAGTGCACAATAACCTTTAGCTACCATTTGTAGTGCTTTGGGTAGTGTATTGGTGCACCTGTCATAAGACTGACAGGTGTCCTGGGTTCGATTCTCTGGAAGTTGAAAAAATACAGAGTAACAAATAAATGGTTCTCTTGTCAAAAGTCATTATCGTTTGCTTACTGGGTATATGCTTGTACGTAGTTACATAACCATTTTCGAACCTTTTGGGCCTCTTGTTATAATATGTTTGCTAAAGCCAATTTCCAAATTGATGACAAAATTACATATTTGTCATCTACGGTATATACAATATGTATAATAAATTAGAAAAACATATGTCGAACAGACCCAAGGGTCTATATCGGATGGGGAAGGGGATATTTCTGTCTTCAAGCACCCATGAATAGTATAGCGATAGATATCAGTAGCTAATAAGATAATGTGGATCCCCAGTGTACTTTTCTAGATCACAATTTTATGCATTACCATGATTACTGTAATGATGGTTAGACTTAAACCCACAAATAGCAATATGACAGTAACAAAGAAGGGAACACATGTATAAGATGATAAATAGGAATGCCTATGAGATCATAGAGGGTGATATAAAAAGGAATAAGGAAAAGGATAAAATTTCAATCAGACAATTCACAAAATCAACTCTGTTTGTTAAGCCGAGTGCTTACAATGTTATAATCATATAATCAGGTTGTTCGTGCATGGTTTAATCATGCATTAATCATTAAAAACAAAGATAACTAGTTTCAATTTAGATTTTATGGATTTATGTCAAGATTGTTGCTTTTTATTTGAATGAAAAATTATTAATACTGTCTCATAAAAGTTATGACATTGTTTTGTTTTTCAAAAACAAATCAATTTTTCAACAGAATTTATTGCATAATTAACTTGACCCTTTGATCACCAAATCAATAAGGGTCTCTCTCGAGCCACAGAGAGTTGCTGTGTAAAATTTCAATGCAAAAGCTCAAAGGCTTCTTGAAAGTGTTACAGACAGACAGAAAGACACATGGACAGATGCACAGACCTAAATTTAGTATCCCCACTTTCAGTGAAAGGGGAGACAATTATATCAGGGTTTTTTTTTTGTTGATGTTAAACTTGGTTTATCAAGATACTTGTAAAAAAAAAAGCATAACTTTCCCAGTGATTATTCAGTTCTTTCTTTTCCTACATAAATAGTTTTTGATATCATATTGAGCTTTATAATATATACACCTACACATTTATCTATTTTAACATCAATATGCACTAAGCAACACAGTTCCAAAAAGCCAGATAATGTATTGGACCAGCATGCAAATCTCATAGCAAACCATTTTCCCCCAAATGAATGAAGAGTCCTCCCGAAACTTATGAGTTAGGATTTTGTGCTGTGTCATGTAGCATGATAAAAAGCTGAAGAAGAAATAAATCTTCTTTTTTTTTTATTTCATTATTAGAATACAATTTTAGAGAAGTATAATTGAACTGCCTAAACTCCAGTACAAGTCAAATTGAACCATCTTGGATGTCCTGATTAAATGTTTTTATTTTAGGCACAGAGCAACAGAAAGAGTTTTTTTTTTTTTTAACTAGACCATGTTCATAATGCATGTATCATTTCTCAGGTACTTTTAATATACAAGTATACATACAAATTAAATATTCAGTACTTATAATGATGTTCATCAGCTCAGACAATTACAGGTTCGAGAATCTGTGTCAAAACTCATGGAACAAATGCTCATTGGATCCATATCAAAATATCACTTTAACACAGAACATTCTATTTACTCAGGGAGTTGTTGACTTTTAAAGCATCATACCAATTTTGCATAGATCGGTTTTTCCAACGAGGGGTCCTGCCGTCCAAGGTCACTTTTAGTACAATTCACTGTTATCTAAATGGACGTTCAGTAAGGCGGGATATTCTTGATGTTATATAATTAGCCTCTAAAATTTACACAGCTTTCAATCATTGTTGAAATATATGTAGCCAGGATAGAAATTCAGGACATATAAGAAAGAAAGATTACCTGTAAGTTGTCTAATGATTGTCAACAACGATTAAAAGTACCTGATGCTATTACTTTTTTAACCAATGAAAATCTATTTGCCATTTGAAAGACACTAGTGCCGAGAATACTACAGCTTACTAAAAGTCCAAGGATGGCAGAGAATAATTGCTTTCTTTTTGATACCAGAGTGTTTTTCATGCATGAGTAGACACAATGACAAAAACTCCGAACTCGACTTTCAATTTTAAATTTTTAAAGAATTTTTTTGAATTTTCATTACATAAAATACCTTGATCAAGGTATTTTAAATATCTTGATAAAGCTATACCTTTAGCGGGGTATTGTGCTGGACCTGATATGTACGGAAAACCTCGATCATTCAGTGTCCCTAGCTCAAGAAGGGGGTCTCTGCCTTCCAAGGATATGATCGCCTATAAGCACGGTGTTTATATTGTTTAAACAAACAAACATTACAAAGTGGAAACACTGAACATATTCATCACTGCGTACATTAATTTTATCTATTTGTATATGGTATATGGATAAAAACATGATAAACAACGTTGCACCTTACTTAGACAGACCCGAAGCATTTCCTGAGATCAGAAACCAGACGTTAAAAAGATGTGGCAAACAAACCACTTATTTGTATCTATGAATAGCGAAAAATGTATTACATAGACACAAAAAGTAGTAAAACGTGCCACTTCTCTAAATTTTTAATCAAATAAATCGCATCCAAACGACCAATGTAGAAACTGAAAGTATTTTCTTCTTTCACTTCCGTCATAACGTCACACATGCGCATGAACGGTTTATAGAATATTCAGAAGATTGAACCCGATTACTATTATGCTTGTGAATCGTGAAAACGAATTTTTGGCCGTCTATGCATTAAATATTCAACTTATGATTTAAACCATACTTATTACTGTTGTATTATCGATAGTTTTAAATATTTCAAGCGATTTTTACACCCAAATCCTAAAAGTATAGATGTTAAAAAGATTTTTCAAATTATCATTTTTCAGCAAATTTGGTATAAAAATGTGAAATTTTCTTGTTTGATGCCCGCTGCCCCACTTAATTTTTATGCCATATAAGGGAGAGAACATTGGAAAATAACATGTTAATTTTAAAAAGAAATCTGTAGTTAGAATATCAAGCAGCAATTTATTTTTACCAGAAATGAACTTTATAATTTTGAGCTAAATATGTTGAATTCGCCCTAAAAAGTACAATTAAATGGATCAGCAGATGTAAAAATTAATTAAACCGTTAAACAAGCATATCCTCTCTACAATTCATATGTTAAATATTTTTATTTGCCTTTAATTTTATAAAGCTAGCATATATTACTCAATTCCTTCATTTTTGTAATTTCTCGAGACAATGTCTATTTTTAGTAACAGTCCTAACAAAAGGAGGCCCGGTTGACCTAAAAATTTACGCAGATATGAAAAGGACAAATACTTAATTCAAATTCTGAGAAGTTTAAACAAAATCTGTAGCTTCGTTATTCTTGTAGCATGGTATGGATCATTACCTTAATTAGGATTTAGTGATGTATACCTTGTGACGTTTAATTAGGATTTAGTGATGTATACCTAGTGACGTTTAATTAGGATTTAGTGATGTATACCTAGTGACGTTTAATTAGGATTTAGTGATGTGTACCTAGTGACGTTTAATTAGGATTTAGTGATGTATACCTAGTAACATTTAATTAGGATTTAGTGAAGTATACCTTGTGACGTTTAATTAGGATTTAGTGATGTATACCTAGTGACGTTTAATTAGGATTTAGTGATGTATACCTAGTGACGTTTAATTAGGATTTAGTGATGTATACCTAGTGACGTTTAATTAGGATTTAGTGATATATACCTAGTGACGTTTAATTAGGATTTAGTGATGTATACCTAGTGACGTTTAATTAGGATTTAGTGATGTATACCTAGTGACGTTTAATTAGGATTTAGTGATGTATACCTAGTGACGTTTAATTAGGATTTAGTGATGTATACCTAGTGACGTTTAATTAGGATTTAGTGATGTGTACCTAGTGACGTTTAATTAGGATTTAGTGATGTATACCTAGTGACGTTTAATTAGGATTTAGTGATGTATACCTAGTAACGTTTAATTAGGATTTAGTGAAGTATACCTTGTGACGTTTAATTAGGATTTAGTGATGTATACCTAGTGACGTTTAATTAGGATTTAGTGATGTATACCTAGTGACGTTTAATTAGGATTTAGTGAAATATACCTAGTGACGTTTAATTAGGATTTAGTGATATATACCTAGTGACGTTTAATTAGGATTTAGTGATGTATACCTAGTGACGTTTAATTAGGATTTAGTGATATATACCTAGTGACGTTTAATTAGGATTTAGTGATGTATACCTAGTGACGTTTAATTAGGATTTAGTGATGTATACCTAGTGACGTTTAATTAGGATTTAGTGATGTATACCTAGTGACGTTTAATTAGGATTTAGTGATGTATACCTAGTGACGTTTAATTAGGATTTAGTGATGTATACCTAGTGACGTTTAATTAGGATTTAGTGATGTATACCTAGTGACGTTTAATTAGGATTTAGTGATGTATACCTAGTGACGTTTAATTAGGATTTAGTGATGTATACCTAGTGACGTTTAATTAGGATTTAGTCATGTATACCTAGTGACGTTTAATTAGGATTTAGTGATGTATACCTAGTGACGTTTAATTAGGATTTAGTGATGTGTACCTAGTGACGTTTAATTAGGATTTAGTGATGTATACCTAGTGACGTTTAATTAGGATTTAGTGATGTATACCTAGTAACGTTTAATTAGGATTTAGTGAAGTATACCTTGTGACGTTTAATTAGGATTTAGTGATGTATACCTAGTGACGTTTAATTAGGATTTAGTGATGTATACCTAGTGACGTTTAATTAGGATTTAGTGAAATATACCTAGTGACGTTTAATTAGGATTTAGTGATATATACCTAGTGACGTTTAATTAGGATTTAGTGATGTATACCTAGTGACGTTTAATTAGGATTTAGTGATATATACCTAGTGACGTTTAATTAGGATTTAGTGATGTATACCTAGTGACGTTTAATTAGGATTTAGTGATGTATACCTAGTGACGTTTAATTAGGATTTAGTGATGTATACCTAGTGACGTTTAATTAGGATTTAGTGATGTATACCTAGTGACGTTTAATTAGGATTTAGTGATGTATACCTAGTGACGTTTAATTAGGATTTAGTGATGTACACCTAGTGACGTTTAATTAGGATTTAGTGATGTATACCTAGTGACGTTTAATTAGGATTTAGTGATGTATACCTAGTGACGTTTAATTAGGATTTAGTGATGTATACCTAGTGACGTTTAATTAGGATTTAGTGATGTATACCTAGTGACGTTTAATTAGGATTTAGTGATGTATACCTAGTGACGTTTAATTAGGATTTAGCGATGTATACCTAGTGACGTTTAATTAGGATTTAGCGATGTATACCTAGTGACGTTTTATCATCATCACAGTCCCCCTGATGGACGTCCCCTCCTCTACTGCTGGGTACCACGGAGTGTCCCAGTCGGCCGGGTACCAGGGACCGTTAAGGAAGCCTCGGTGGCAGCGGTTAAACCACCAGCCGCCTCTCTTGTCATAATTAGCAGCACAGTTCACACTGGACGGGTCGTTATCTCGGTCCTTAGTGGTGAAGGACATCCCTGACAGGTCACGGGTAGGGAATCCAGTGTTTAAGATACTGTCTCCTGTAGGAGTAGAGGCAATCAATCAAAGACATGTGTAATTTATATCATTAATACATGAAATAGATTTAGGATAGTGGGCTTCTGTAAAGAGAAATACTATTTTGAAAAAATTGCAATACAACAACTCCCTTTGCATTTAAAATAGAATCCTTTTTAGTGTAATGATCAATCCCAGGTGGTAAAGGTCACGGGGAATATTTTTAAAATGAATATATGAAGAATCAATATCCTGTCCAGTCTATGCCTTTAAAATACTTGAGAAGCTTCACTCGCAAAATAACGTTATCCCTTTTTTTGTTCACCTGAGCCGAAGGCTCAGGTGAGCTATTCTGATCACATTTTGTCCGTCTGTCTGTCCGTCTGTTCACATTTCCGACTACTTCTCAATAACCACTGGGCTAAATTTATCCAAACTTGGTACAATGCGTCCTTGGGTTTAGGGGAATTAAAATTGTTAAAATTAAGGGCCAGGTCCTCTCATAAGGATAGATAATCACGAAAAGACAAAAATAAGGTGGGGTCATTAAAATATCTTCTCAAGAGCCAATGGGCAAGAAAAGTTAGGTGGAAGCATCCTTGGGTAGTGTAGATTATAAGTTGCTCAAATCATGGTCCCCTGGGGTAGGGCGGGGCCACAATAGGAAATCAAAATTTTACTGAGAAATATGTAGGAAATTTTTTTTTAAATCTTCTTCTCAAGAACTACTTGGCCAGAAAAGCTGAAACTTATGTGGAAGCATCCTGAGGTAGTGTGGATTCTAAATTGTTCAAATTATGACCCCCGGGGGTTGGATGGTGCAACAATGGGGAATCAGAGTTTTAAATCAAAATATATAGGAAAAGTCTTTAGAAATCTTCCTGTCAGGAACCACTGTGTCAGAAAAGATGAAAATATGTGGAAGTATCCTAGAAGTATCCTAGGGTAGTGGTCACCCGCGTGGCGCAGTGGTCAGAGCATCTGCTCTAGAGTAGCGAAGCAAGGAGTGAATCCTTACGTCGCGGGTTCGAATCCCATTGTGGGACATGGAAACCAGCCCTTCGGATGAGACCGTATAAACCGAGGTCCTGTGTCATAGTAAGTGCTGGCACACAAAGATCCCTCCCTGCTCAATGGTGCCGAGTCAAGGACAAAATTTGCAGCTCTCCATCGGCAAATGGTGGCGTCTCCATATGAGTGAAAAATTCTCGAGAGGGACGTTAAACAATATTCATTCAATCCTAGGGTAGTGTAGATTGTAAATTGTTCAAATCATGACCCTGTTCGGTTCGGCGGGGCTACAACAGGGAATCAAAGTTTTACATAGAAATATATAGGAAAAAATCTTCTCAAGAACTACTTGGCCAGAAAAGCTAAAACTTATGTGGAAGCATCCTGCTATAGTGTAGATTGTAAATTGTTCAAATTATAACCCTTGGGGATGGGGCAGGGCCACAACGGGGCATCGAAATTTTACATAACAAGAGGCCCACGGGCCTTATAGGTCACCTGAGAATCATGTAACAACTTTCCAGCGATTGTATTTGGTTCGTTTTTTAAGCCAAAAGCCATGAAATTCACAAATTTTGAAAGAGGCACCATTGCTTATCAAAGGGCAGATTTCAAAGCATTAATTTATTTTTAGTCAACGTACCCCCTTGGTACCCCTGACCCAGCAGCCCTGAAATTATCTATTTTGAAAGAGGCCCCTTTCTTCATTATAAGGCCACCATTTTTTTTATGTTTAGGTTTAGTTATGAACATGAGAATAAAAAAGTCCCGAAGGAGAAGGAAATAAAATTTTCTTTTGATAAATCAATTATTAACATTTGTACATTCTTTTTTTATGCTATCCTATTAGGCTCCTTACCACTGGACACATAATGCTTACAAATAGGAAAGTAGAACATGTAATTGCTTATTTCATCATCTGCCAGTTTGGGCCAGTTGTATAAATTTTGTGATGTTGATCAAAATATATTTTAAAAAAATCGATTCTTTAAAAGTCTTTCTATATATCTTCATTTTTTAATATGTGTTAGGTGAATGTGTAGACATTGTTCTAAAATTTACTTGATGCCTAAAATTATAATCCCTATCATAAAACAGACAGGGAGTATTACATTTTTACAATTAAGTGTAAAATAATTTTTCTGGCTGATACAAATGATACTACATGCTTGTATATATTTGTATATTCTTGCTTTTAATAGTTGAATTTTTTTTTTATTTCTTCAGGTTATTGTTTATTTCTTCCTCAAATGGACTTCACTTCTCCCATAGTTTTATTCATTACATCTGATGCATAAGCAACCCTTTTCTGAAGAATGATGCTTAGACTGTAAGCTATAAAAGAGACCTAAACAATGTCCCTGGCAGTATGCAATAGCTATCACGGGCAGTTTAAAACCTGGGGGAGGAAAATAACTTACAGTTACTTTTGAAACGAATACATAATTATCTCACCAGCATGTCATTGTGCAACAAAGTCGTCAGCATTTTTTTGTCCTTTGAACGGGTGAAACGTTTTGAATGACACTCTTATCGATGTATTTTACACTAAACCAAGCTATCTTCTCAGATCTAGCTTTATTTACCCGCCGTTTCATCGTAAAACCGGAAGTGCGAGTTCGTAAATTTGAAATCTCGATCCCGACTCAAATTTGACATCGGAAAGAAAAAAATTGTTTTATTTTTTTCTAAAAATTCAAAACCTTCAGCGGAGGGTTTGTAAAACTGAAAATAAAATAAATCCTGGCCTTAAATATGTAATTAGATCATTAGCATATTAACCAAGGATAAGATGTTCAAAGAATTCATGCATTTCACTATATAATCATTAGAGCCCCACCCTAAAACAAGAACCCCTGACCCTGGGGCCATAAAATTCACAATTTTGGTAGAGGCACTCTTGCTTATCATAACTATGTACTTAGTTAGTTTATTTAATACCCAGAAGCAGAGAAGAAGATTTTCAAAGAATTCATGTATTTTCATTATATAATCAATAGAGCCCCGCCCTAACACCAGAACCCCTGACACTGGGGCCATAAAATTCACAATTTTGGTAGAGGCACTCTTGCTCATCATAACTATGTACTTAGTTGGTTTATTTAATACCCAGGAGCAGAGAAGAAGATTTTCAAAGAAATAATGCATTTTCACTACCTAATTATTTAGCCCCCCCCCCCCAGCACTAGAACCCCTGACCCCAGGGCCATGAATTTCACAATTTTGGTAGAGGACCCATTGCTGATCACAATCATGCAAACAGTTTGACTGCTTGATGTCCAGGAGTAAAGAAGAAGATTTTTAAAGATTTGCATTAATTTTAGTGGTTTTGGTCCCACCCCTCAGGCCCCAGGGTGGCAGGGATCATGAAATTCACAATTTTTGTTCCCCTTCACCCATAGATGCTTTGTGCTAAATTTGGTTGAAATTGGTTTAGTGGTTGCAGAGAAAAAGCTGAAAATGTTCAAATGTTAACGCACGACGAACGACGACGGACGAAAACAGATAGCAATAGGTCACCTGAGTTTACTCAGGTGACCTAAAAATATATAGGTAAAATCTTTAAACATCTTCTTCTCAAGAACCACTGGGCCAGAAAAGCTGAAACTTAAGTGGAAGCAACTTGGGGTAATATGGATTTTAAATCGTCCAAATTATGACCAAATTGTCAAAATAGGTATTACAAGGGGAAATCTTAAGAATAGCATCGTAAAAGTTTCTCAGGTGAGCTATGTGCCCCATGGGCCTCTTTTTATGGTGCCAAGATACATCTTCGACTCACGAATATATTTCTCGCAATTTGCCGTCTAAAAACCATTTTACATGTAGCCATACTTTATACTCGCGTTAAATAAGAAATTTACAGTATGTTAATATAGGATCTCTCATGAATTGGGGTGTTGCTAAAACGCGGAACGGAAAACGGAACGGAAAGCGGAACGGAAAACGGAATATATTATTTTGGATTAAATCACTTAAAATACACAAATTTTATCATAAACGATATATCTTGTACATATTCAATCCCCCACTATTAAATACAAGTTGATTTTGTCATGATAAGTCTCTTGTTTACGAAAATCGCTAACACAACAGTCACCTAGAATCGAATTTGAAAAAGGGGTGGGGGTGGGTAAACGAACTTGAAAAGTATTTGACAAGCAAAAAGAAAAAGAGAAGACAATTGTTTGATTCAGGAGGGGGGATAAGTTCCAACTCCAACATCTTCCAGAACTATTTTTTTTACTCTAATTTACTACATTAATTACATTCACAAAAAGTGTGAGGATGTCAACTTGAACGAACATTTCCGTAGTAAAAAGGTTATGACTGGGGGAGCAAATATTTGATATCTAGATTGACCATGGAAAGAGGAATAAAATTAAAAAAAAATATATTAAGATATTACGTGTAGGGCAAACCTTTACGGCAAGCTCGAATTAACATCTCTTATATATACACTGGTTGTTAAAAATGTTATTCAAAAGAGTCGCTTTCTATATATATATATAAATTCGATCTGGATAGACAAAGTTGGAAAACTTTCATGTGGTAGATATAATGCAGAATCTTTGCCTTCAATGAAGTTAAATTTTGTTTGTTTGCGGTACATATGTGTGTGTGTTGGGAAGGGGGGAGGGTATATGAGTGACCACGTAAAAAATGAGTTTGTTTTCCCGCTCATCGGAAAGGTCTGAGAAGTTGTAGTAGGTCATCCTCACAATGACAAGGGTTTGTGATTTCTCGAACTCGGGAGTTCGAGAAATCACAAACCCTTGACATTGTGAGGATGGTAATAGGTCTACCCCCCTTTTTTGTGTCCTAATATACGTAAGATTTAATAAATCAATTTTAAATGTGGCTGTGGGCCCCTACCCAGACCCGAAACTGTCACGCCCCATTTCATGATTCGCGAATTCGACACTGCGTGCATAATCTGAATATCATATCCAGTTATTTTTGTCTTTACAGACATTGACATTTGAAACAAATTGAAATGGGGGGGGGGGGTCAGTATGAAATTTCCAACATACAAAAAATTTGACATGAAAAAAAAAACAAAACACAAAAAAAACGGGGGTATATGTCCTTTGCCGAAACACAAAATTCCTATTTTGTGTGTGTGTTGGGGGGGGGGTCGAATTTCTTCCTGTTGAGAGGGGGGGGGGGCATCGCTTGTACACCAGTTCTGAACGGAGGGTGTGTATGACTCATGAATATATAACAGTTTACAATAAATTTTTATAAGAAATGAATTTTACACCAAGAATATTGCTCTTTTATCTGATTTATATCGAATTTATGTTAATTGTTTGACTAAAATTTTCCGTTTTCCGTTCCGTTCCGTTTTCCGTTCCGCGTTTTAGCAACACCCCATGAATTGTAGTTGGATATCAATTTCACCAACGAATATTTGATTTAAAACATTATGTAAGAGAAATGAAGACTTTCCAAGACTTAACGAGGAAATGAAATAACACAAAGAGTTAGATAACAATCATATACAGCTGCAAAGCAAGGGGTATTCTTTTTATCCCATGTTTCACACATCATTATTAATGTTTTACACTGTTTTGTAAAAGAATCTACTTTACTAACTTTATCACTATAACTCAAATCTCATTGTGACGTCACAGCTGCGATTATCAAAGAAAAATCAACGAGTCACATCTTGTCGACATAACATATCAAACACGCACTGTAAAATTTCTATTCCTTGGTAGTTTAAAATGTAAATTTTAGAAAAAATATATCAAAAACAACCAAGCTTAAAAACATTGGCGGATCAATGATCGCTAAAACGTGAAATTATTTAAAGACGGTTTCAAAATATTATATGTGTATATAAAGTATATATATTAAAAAAGATGTGTTTGTGAAACACTGATGCCCCCGTATGGCAGTTTTTTGTGAGGGTTGAAGTTTCTCAACGGAATACACCTGTGAAATATGAAAAACCAACCCACTCAAAAGTTATGGACAAGGTTAAAGTTTGTGCGGAAAAACAGACGGACGATCCGGACAAAAAGTATAAACCCAAGAATCTTCGATTACGGGGGCATAAAACATAATCTTTGTCAACAACAAAGTTCAGCAATCTGTCTATGGATATAAGTATTATGATTGCATACTTTATTTAATAACCAAGCCTGAATACACTTACCTAAGGCACCTGTAGCTGGCGCCGCTAGGAAGAGTTGATATTTCTCTGTTTCACTGGAGACGGAGAATCGGTCGTACAGTTCATACAGCGTTGTACCATTCTGGAGAGTGATGGACACGTATAGGAAGGAGTTGTAGTCTTTTGTTAACTGATGGATTAAGTCATTTCCTGCATTAAGATATATTAGAAATCAATAGAAAAGTCTACTGAATACAATTATTTCAGTTTTGAATATGAATCGTTAAACCTTAATGAAAAATCAAATTCCTGAACTGTAAAATATGTTAATTTTCGTATCTTTAAAACCATGCCATGCAGCTTTCATAATTATCATATAAGATATCATTACATTACCATAAGTAGGAATCCTCAAATACATATTACCCATGGCAAGTGTGATATTTTGTCAAATTTTGAAGCCAATGAATTCCTATTTGAAAGCTCTTATTACTTACCAACCCAGACATCCTGTTCTGGTGAACCGAAACCATTTTTATATGCTGTCCAATCCAGGTCAAAACTCACAGATCCGTTGACGCGTTTTTGGATTGCCTTTAAATGTCAACAAGAAAAGCAATACAATTCATTGTTTCAAACAATTGTATGATCAATATGTTATAACGTGAAGTAAACTTATTTATACGTTTCCCATCCTATATTCTTTTGAACAAGATAAACACTGAATGTAAGTTATATAGTTCCTTCTAATTACCGTCCAACCTCCACCCATTATCTCCATCTGACAGTACACCCTGACGGGACTGGTGATGGTGCCGTGGGGGTAGATGTCGTAAACACCAGAATCAAAGTAACCGTCTCCATGGAGATCCTTACAGTCTATGGGCATAACTGGAAAAAAAAATTGTCTCTGATGAGACTGTAGTTCTACTGGTTTGTACGAATAACAAAGGGAAATGTATCACTTGGATTTGAAAATTTGCATCAGGCTGCAATAAACAGAATTATGTATCTTAGTGTAGTCTACCTGTGTGCTACTAGCGTTTTAAAGGAATTTCACACAAATTTTTACTTTTAGAAACCATGGCAGCACCGTTCAACAAAATCTGATGCACTAAATTATGTACTTTAGTGTAGGCTACTTGTGTGGCTGTGCTAAGATATATTGAATTCAGACCAAAACTGTAGGTGTAACATTTAAAAAATTGTTTGCAGACAGACGTGCGAATGACGGACACCTTACTGTCGCATAAGCTTTTCTGGTCTCTGACTAGTAGAGTTAAAAAAACATGTTTTAGAGGATATCTGCGAGATACATTAATTGTTGAAGATAACATGTGAGCAACGATGTAGCTACAATGTAGATTATGTTAAGCGCTTTCTCATTATCGTAAATTATTTTTTGTTTTCTCATGGCATTTTAAAGTTTTGAAGCTATCATTTGTTTTACGATTTTTTTTAATCAGTACAAATAAGCCCATTTTTTTGTTGGAAATTTAAACATTATTTATATTTCTTAATGTTAAAGAGGAATTCACTTCTAAATAAGATTATGTTAAAAGTTGTGAAGAGTTGAAGAGTATTATTTTTTCCCTTTGCCAGATTACGACAAGGGGACATACGGTAAATCGAACCGGACGACTGGGGGTGTTTTCTCCTTCATGGCACAGGACTCTACTTCAGCTTTCATGACAGTTATAACAAACTAACATTTTGAGTAGCTAGCATAAAGAACTCTCTTTTTAGATTATTTAATCAATTACAAGCTATATTTTTCTCAGTGTTAAGAACGATACACTGCCATCAAATGTACATAGACACCGAATTGAAGTGACTGTTTTCTTAATTTTCTGACATATAATATCATGACTTATATACTGCAATAACACTTCCTAAGAAAATTTAAAAAAAAATTAAATTCCGAAGTTATTGAAACTTCGTATTTCTGGACTGATTTGATTGACACATTCTTGCACCTGTGTTGATCCATCTCTCCTCAAAGGCCCCGAGTGCCGAGTATAGGTATAGATTTGCATCTCCATCGACAGAGAGGTTAAAACAACAAACAAGCAAACAGTCAGGAAATATATAAAAGTTATACATACAGTCCTGTAAGTAGTATCTCCAGCCCTCCTCTCTGGACACTCCAGACGTGAACATCTCCTTGTGGGTCCGACATTTCTTCATCTGAGGATTGAATCCAAAGACGCTACAATTCCTTAGACAGCGCGCCGCACACTGTATATCCGATTTAGCATTGTATTCTCCTAGAAGTTCCTCATTTGATTTCCTATCATCCTTTTCCGGTTTTGCTGTATATTTCCGCGAGATAAGGGAAGAGTTAGACACCGCAAAGAAGACAAAAATTAAATAGATAGCCCAAAGAGCGCCCATATCGCAATTTGTAGTTTAAACTTCCTCCTGCGTACCTGCAAGATTTTGTAGTATAAGATACCGAACACTTGATATAAATATTAAAGCATATATCAGTTACTGAAAAGTCATTGGCTGACTGTTAGGTCTCCGTTTGTTTCAATCATTAAAATATTGATTTATTTTGTTTCAAAATCATTGCGACGTTTGTAATGTTTACTTAATTATTTGAGATAAATACAATTATTCCTCCTCCCGATTTCCCTAATACATCCCTTTTTCTCAAAATTAAATCTATCGATAACAGAAGCGTAAGCTGACAATTTTAGGCCAGATGACAAATATTAATATTCCCAAATTTAAAACCTTTTTTGATGAGCCCAAAATTAAATGATTATAAATTTGATTTTTTTTCTGTGGCTTCTCGTTATTTCAGGATAAATTAGTAGGTAAGGCTGTTTAAAATTAATTCTACGTTTAACGTCACATCTAAAGTTCAAAACCTACGAGGGAGGGAGGAAAAAAATAAACAAACAAAATTTTCAAACAAGTGTGAATTTATTCAAATTAACCTATTCAGTACATTAAAAACATTACAATTAAGTAATAAGAGCATTTAATTGATATGACACCTAAGATTAATTTCCCAAGGAGAGTTTTTCCTTAGTATGTAAATCAGTTTGAGTCCTATTGTTAGCAAACAATGTAGTCTAAGACTGAATGTGCAGGAAAGTGACTTTTAACTAGGCCTCAGTTGTCCTTTGGATTTATATTGCCACACATCCATGGTACCCTGGAGGTAAATGCTTCTTCTTGTGGGAAAAGTTGATCAATATCTACAATCAAAATTATTGATGACAATATTTAAAAGTGTTCATGTTGAAATATCCTCAAATTGAATTATGTCGTATTTTTTCTTAGTACTAGATCTACTAGCATTAAGTTTTGAAAGTGTGAATACTAATATTTGGACCATACTGATAGCTGTTAGATTATCTTTAATACCTTGAATTCCACACAAAAGACAGGATTCTTCACATCTTGGAATACCCCAATTACTTTCCTTACTCTCCTTAACTTGAAAGGCCCTATCTTCGGTAAGCTTCTCCCTACTCAAATGGTTATGACAAGTATATTATCTTTCCCAAAAATTGTAGCTATTTGTAGGTACATAAATTATGAAGAAATCAATTACTTTATTCATTACTGTTCCTTTCGATTTTTACAGGAATATTTTTAATATGAAACATATTCACTGTATATAAATCTTGGTTTTTGGCACAGTTTCCACTCAGTAAAAAAAATTTTTCGATTCTCTCCAAAATACAATGAAAAGTTCAGCCAATAGAATCATGAACTGAGAGTCTGTCACTGTCAGTCTGTACATATGATTCGAAGACTGACAAAAAAAATCAACAAACAAGACTTTGTCATTAATATAACCATAAAATAATATATTTTTTACTTACATTTATGGTCCAAAACTCTTTAATTCTCTAGTTTTCATTAATAAGACACCAACTGCCTTAACTGCGGCTATCAAAGCACATTTTCTGTCACTACGGGAATCAGAATTCAGTCGCTAATTGAAGAACCAAACCGGAACGGACATACGGAATTCCGAATTGTTTGTTTTTTTCAAAGACGATTTTCTCATAAACCTACGCGCGCGGGTGACGTTAAACGTAGTTTTAATTTTAAACAGCCTAAGAATTTCTCTTTGATAAAATCTTTATCTTAACCCGATCTTAATGATTCATCAGTAACTGTATTGCGTGAATTACAGAGATATGAGCATTTGCACGACATTTCATCACATTCATCACAAAGATTTTCTAAAATACTTCAGGGTTTGATTTTAAGAGGAATGGTTTTTCGGCAATTTCTTCTTTGCCAAATTCCTAAAAGGAACAATGTTTTGCTTGAAGTCCCTAAGAGTTGCAGTTTCAGCGAACAATTTTACACACATGCCAACAATTCTGTGAGAAATGACCATTTTCACCGCAATAAAAACACATATTCACATTAACAGTTGCATTTTCTGTCTCATTCAGATGACGAATTTATATGACGTTTAATGTGGGTTACTTAGGATTTCAAAAGTGGAGATGTTCCATTGTCGGATAAATGAATCCCATGATTCCATAATATATCTGATATTTTGAATTCATTTAGTAGTAGATCATGTTAACACAACAAATGCTTTATCAAAAGAATTTACAAAATTTTGATGATTGTCCAATTAATTGCACCTCGACATTTACATTGAAGTCTATGTGCAGCGCATGTTTGATCGGATATTGTAAAATTAAATTTGAATTTCAAACAAATATCTTGATGAAAGTATGCCCAAACTCCCTCTTTATTTAACTATGAAATAAAATGAATTATTTACCGCCAGAATACTGAGAAATTAAACATTTTCTTTTCATCAAGGACAGAAAATTCTTCAAAAACTTTTAACGTGCAAAATGACTGTCTCCTTACATGTTTTTAGTCTTGTGAATTTGGTAAATTTCACTTTTATCGTTATCTAGCGATGCTTTACTATTTTGAATTTTTTCATTCTTTATACATTTAATACACTAACTACAGACATTTTTTATCGTTTCATTCATTGGAGTACCATCAGAATCCCGCCTTGTTGGTATGTCCGATACAAATATCTTGGTACTTAGGATCTCTTGATTTTGAGCACACTCTAAGTGAGATTAAATTCACTGGTCTCGAATTCTCCGTTGTTGAGAGCATCATTACCTTCGACAAGCAGGATATTCCAGAATATTTCACTGATACGGAGACGTCACCATTGCCGGTGAAGGGCTGCAAATTTAGGCCTATGCTCGGTACTTACGGCCTTTGAGCAGGGAGGGATCTTTATCGTGCCACACCTGCTGTGACACGGGGCCTCGGTTGATACGGTCTCATCCGAAGGACCACCCCATTTAGTCGCCTTTTACGACTAGCAATGGGGTACTGAGAACCTATTCTAACCCGGATCCCCACGGGGCTAAAATCAAACAAAAGAACAAATATTTAGATATTTTTCGATCAAAATATTTATATTATTTTGTTGTAAGAAAATTTGAGTTATGTTCCTTTATTTCGATGTTCCTGAAGATGTTGCACGACGGTGAATAATCATATAGAGAAAAATTTGCCTAGTCTGGTCATTAAAAAGAATAGTCCTGGTGTTTTGAAACATTTCATTTGGAAGCACATTAGATAACAAAGATTTATAAGGTCCCGAAGTTAAAATTATTCTTCAGGTTACAACTTCGAATCGTTACAATTTGTAAGTCTGAGAATTATAGTAACTCTTTGTTTTTGTTTACGATAAAATTAAAAATGGCACATTAAATAACCAGAAGTCTCTGTCGAGACTGTAGCTCTACTGGTTTATACTTAAAACAAAGGAAGAGAAAAGTAGCAGTTGGGACTTGAGACTTTAAATCAGCAATAAATAGAAAAATGATCCTTGCCACTCATCAAAATAAAAACCAATGCACAGAATTATGTATCTTAGTATAGTCTACTTGTGTGCCAAGTTATACTGAAATCAGACCAAAACTGCAGGAGGAGTAGCATTTTGAAAGAATTTCACAGAAATTTCTATTTTTAGTAACCATGGCAACATTGTTCATTGAAATCAAAAACCGATGCACAGAATTATGTATCTTAGTGTAGTCTACTTGTATGCCAAGTTATATCAAAATGAGACCAAAACTGTAGGAGGAGTAGCATTTTGAAAGAATTTCACAGAAATTTCTATTTTTAGTAACCACGGCAACACCGTTTATTGAAATCAAAAACCGATGCACAGAATTATGTATCTTAGTGTAGTCTACTTGTGTGCCAAGTTATACTGAAATCGGACCAAATCTATAGGAGGAGTAGCATTTTGAAAGAATTTCAAAGAAATTTCTATTTTTAGTAACCAATGCAACACCGTTCATCGAAATCAAAAACCGATGCACAGAATTATGTATCTTAGTGTAGTCTACTTGTGTGCCAAGTTATAATGAAATTGGACCAAAACTGTAGGAGGAGTAGCATTTTGAAAGAATTTCACAGAAATTTCTATTTTTAGTAACCACGGCAACACCGTTTATCGAAATCAAAAACCGATGCACAGAATTATGTATCTTAGTGTAGTCTACTTGTGTGCCAAGTTATACTGAAATCGGACCAAATCTGTAGGAGGAGTAGCATTTTGAAAGAATTTCAAAGAAATTTCTATTTTTAGTAACCACGACAACACCGTTCATCGAAATCAAAAACCGATGCACAGAATTATGTATTTTAGTGTAGTCTACTTTTGTGCCAAGTTATATTGAAATCTGACCAAAACTGTAGGAGGAGTAGCATTTTGAAAGAATTTCACAGAAATTTCTATTTTTAGTAACCACGGCAACACCGTTCATCGAAATTAAAAACCGATGCACAAAATTATGTATCTTAGTGTAGTCTACTTGTGTGCCAAGTTATATTGAAATCGGACCAAAACTGTAGGAGGAGTAGCATTTTGAAAGAATTTCACAGAAATTTCTATTTTTAGTAACCACGGCAACACAGTTCATCGAAATTAAAAACCGATGCACAAAATTATGTATCTTAGTGTAGTCTACTTGTGTGCCAAGTTATATTGAAATCGGACCAAAACTGTAGGAGGAGTAGCATTTTGAAAAATTGTTTACAGGCAGACAGACAGACGGACAGACAGACAGACGGATGGACGACGGACGCATTACTATCGCATAAGCTCTTCTGGTCTCTGACCAGTAGAGCTAAAAACTTGTATAAAATTATCTAACTGTCAAAGCAAAATAAACGTTCATTTATTGTTAAAACATAATTTGTTGCTGTCCTACAAGTAAAGAAGAGTTACCTCTCTTACGTCACAAATGCTATCATTTGGCGCACTTTTTAAATGCAATTTTCTCAAATTCTACTATTAATCAATTTTTATTTTGAGATTCTGGTTCAATTTTCGATATAAAATATTTCTCTTAAATACTTAAATATGAATTTTACTCTTAATTCACACAAATTAAACAGAAATAATGCTTTGAAATTTGAGGGCGAGACAGCAAGCTGACAAAGGGCCGAGACAGTGATATCTTAGCCCCGAGGGCGAGACAGCCCTAGCTCCAAGGCGCTGTCTCACTTTGTCCAAAACGCCTGTATCAGGGCTGATACACTACTAGGTATATGATATACATGTATCTCACAGTAAGCATTCTACTTATGATGCACAAATATCAGAAAGTACAAAATCTATCCTAAAGAATGAATTTCTTCATCGATGGGAAAATAAATAATTTTTTTTCAAATTCTTCTCATTTTTTAATTGTCGGTCTAAAAAAAAAATTTAACAGAAACTGAGTCCAGTGTATATAATTTGTTTAACTGCTTTTATAGGTTAATGTTGTCTTACACCAAATAATTACATAAGCGAATGTGTTTAAAAGACGTGATAGATTCGCAACAAGTGACGAATTGGCCGTCCTTTACAGTTTACATAAGGCCGTGGGGCGCTGGCCACATTACATAGGTGACCGTTTCTTCCAGTAAAAATATATAGGAAAAATCTAAGAAGGGGGGGGGGCTGAAAGTTGTCGTTGCTAGGACAAGGTTCTTAAAGGCAGGGAAACAAATAAAAGGCGACCTTTTAACAAATTCTTTTTATCTTGTCTTCACAAAGTTTTATTCGCAAATCATAAACAGAATATACATGAATATGTCTCATATAATCAATTTTTTATGTGCATGTGTTATAGGTGTTGTTTTACGTAATTAGCTTTCCTTAATTATTGATTTAAAATAACCATAGAATAATATCCTAATGGTAAGAATGAGTCAATTATGAATTATATAAAAAAAATAAAAGAATTTGAAAATTACCGTTTTACGTCACACAAAGTGTTTTCCTCACAACGCAGTTAAAGAGAATGAGTTCGTCTGATGTAAGGATGTTTTTCTGTATAAGTTTAACGAATGCCTTCATGGGCAATTAGTATTAATTAAAATTTTATTCAAGAAGGATATGATCCCCCATTTATGACGTAGATAAGAGGCTTTTTGGAGAATAGAATGGAATAGATAATAAAGGAAAACAAAACTAAGTCTTAGTCCGAGTGTTTACAAATTTAATGCATCATTATTTTACTGAATTTGGTATTATAACTTAGTGTGTAATTTATTCTTACAGTATTTCTAGGTAATAAAGTATCTTGATTTGGTAATTGTAGTTTATATAATATTGAAAAATAATTGTTGATACACTATATATATATATATATATATATATATATATATATATATATATATATATATATATATATATATATATATATGTGTGTGTGTGTTTAAAAAAAACAAGTATCTAGTATGTATTTTTTTTCATGATATTAAAAAACGACTTATGTTCCAAGAAATAAAGTTCATATCAGTTAATGCGATTACTTATACATATGTTTTAAATTTCATGTTGCTTTTTCTGTGAATTCCTGGATCCACGCCCCGGCTGCAGAAGATTTTCACGCAAGCGCTAAGC